TAGAGGAGGTAGAGGAGGGTAGAGTAGGTTAGAGGAGGTAGAGGAGGTAGAGGAGGGTAGAGTAGGTTAGAGGAGGTAGAGGAGGTAGAGGAGGGTAGAGTAGGTTAGAGGAGGTAGAGGAGGGTAGAGGAGGTAGAGGAGGTTAGAGGAGGTAGAGGAGGGTAGAGGTTAGAGGCTTCTCACAGCCAGATTAGCTCAGATGGTAGAGCACTTGCTTAGCATGTGAGAGGTGGTGGGATTGATTCCCACATTCTCCACAAGACTTTAACTCTTTCTCAATTTAATACATTAATAAATGTATAAATAAATATAAGAAGTGGATAAATAAACACTGAAATAAATAAATGAGTTGATTCAAAGTTATGAACCAAACAGTACATACATTTAAACATGTAGAAATATTTGTTTCTTTATGTCCTATTACATTATCCTGTTTTATTTATGTCAGCATTTATTTTTTCCTTTTATCTATTAACTGCTGCATTCCTTCATTCCTTCATTGATAAAGTTTCAGCAGCTCACGGTTTAGAAACCTGAAATGTGACGTGAAAGAGTTAAAAGTCTTGTGGAGAACACGGGCATCAATCGCGCCACCTCTTGCATGCTAAGCGAGCGCTCTACCATCTGAGATAATTCCCCTGTGAGCCTCCAGGACACTCCATGGTCAGTATGTTGTCTCTTTAAGAGCCTCGGACTCCTCCCTTTGAGGGGGCGGGGCTTCCCCCTTGTTATCAAAACGCTCCCATTTTCCATTGGGAAGATGGCCCTGTCACTCTGCAGCTGAGCTTTGTGATTGGCTGGCAGAAGCACTTCCTGTGTTGATTCAAAGAGAGAGGAAGATAAGTTTATAAGGGACTGAGGAGCAGAGAGATGAAGGAGTAGAGAAGAAGAGGAGGAGGAGGAGGACATGGTATTACCCAGCAGCCCCCTGTGTCTCTGACTGGGTGAGTATGTATGAAGTTCTCACACAGAGTTAATCTGTTGTTTTTCTCTCTGTTTGTGCTGTTGTCGCACACTTTTCTCCCACAATGTAATGCAAAGGAAGTAGAGGAGCAGCTGGAAAACAGCTGACTTCCTGCTTCCTGCCACTCCCACACAGAGAGGGACAGAGAGGGGAGGAGATAGGAGGAGGAGGAGGGGGAGAGGACTTTGTCACTGCTCTTGAAAGGTGCTATATAATTAACTGTACTTACTTTGTGTCATCACCATCAGCATCATCTTCATCACCATCATCTTCATCACCATCACCATCACCTTCATCTTCATCACCATTATCTTCATCAGCATCATCTTCATCACCATCATCTTCATCACCATCATATTCATCACCATCATCTTCATCACCATCATCAGCTGATTGAGAACAAACTGAATCTCTCTGAGCCTTAACTCAGTGTGTCTCTATCTTACAGTACGTTTTCCAACTTTTCCCATAATGCACCTGCTCTCAGTGTTCTCCCTCAGATCGAGGAGCTGGCCCTTTAAGGAACCCCATGATATTCAGTAACCAATCAGAGAGCAGCGTCCTGTGAGGCTGCTCTCTGATTGGCCGACGCCCGTCTGTCCAGCTGCAGCCAGATGTCGGTCAGGATGAGCAGGAAGCAGAGCGAGATGGAGGGTCGCCTTGACGACATGCTGTCACGCATCGCCATGGAGACGCAGGAGATCAAAGAGCTGGAGCAACAGCTGACGGACGGTGAGGAGTCCACTGACCAATCAGAGGCTGTCTCTAACGTGAACCCTGTGATTGGCTGTCACAGTTAGAAACAGTTAGAGAATATAACTACTCCTCTCCTCGTTCCCTCTCCTCCTTCTCTCCTTTCCATGTTTCCTTTGCCTCCCCCTTCTCCTCCTCCTCCTCTCTTGTTTCTTCCACTTGTTTCCTCACCTTCTCCTCCTCTTTTTCCATGTTTTTTCTCCTCCTCTCGTCTCTTGTTTCCTCTCCTCTTCTTCCGCCTCTTCACTTGTTCCTCTTCCTCTCCTCTTGTCTCTTGTTTTGTCTCCTTTCCTTGTTTCCTCTCCTCCTCCTCCTCTTCTCCTCCTCCTCCTCCTTGTTTCCTCTCCTCCTCCTCCTCCTTCTCCTTGTTTCCTCTCCTCCACCTCCTCCTCCTCTTCTTCTCCTTGTTTCCTCTCCTCCTCCTCCTCCTTTCCTCTCCTCCTCCTCCTCCTTGTTTCCTCTCCTCCTCCTCCTCCTTCCCCTTGTTTCCTCTCCTCCACCTCCTCCTCCTCTTCTTCTCCTTGTTTCCTCTCCTCCTCCTCCTCCTCCTCTTCTTCTCCTTGTTTCCTCTCCTCCTCCTCCTCCTCCTCCTTTTCTTCTCCTTGTTTCCTCTCCTCCACCTCCTCCTCCTCTTCTTCTCCTTGTTTCCTCTCCTCCTCCTCCTCCTCCTC